AAAAATTCCAAAGCAGCAAAAATATTCACCTGGTAAAGTTAATGTAATCAAAATGTTCTGCTATGAGCCTAAAGCATTCTTAGGCCTACAAAAGCCCGTGTACAAAAGTTCCTGAGAAGTCAACATAAATCATGAATATTTCCCAGCACAAAATAATATGAAAATTCAAACATGTTTTAAGAAATCAGTTCTGAATATAGATATAAAAGAGTTCTGTCAAAGGTCAGAGACCTAAAACTTTAATCCCTTTGAATAGTAATTAAACACAAAAGGCTTCAGCAATAAAACACTAAGATACAAAATTTAAAAGCACATTAATATAATCTTAACTTCAGCATCTCTTCACAAAAAGCTTTAATATTCACTGTCTGTGAAAAAGTTAATACCACCCTGAGAGGTTTCATTTTTACTTCAACAGCTAAATGTTTTTCTCACCCTTCGCAGAAGCAAGTTTCTACATTTACTTTCTAATTGAGGGTATATCACAAAGAACGGTCACTTCTCAGATACTACAGTTTTGGATTTGCTCACAAACACAAGGATTCCAAATTATCTGTATTTTATTTTTTAAAATTTTTTATTCTAAATTTGTGAGCAGAGTCTATTAAGAAAGCCATAACTTTAAACTTTCAAGTTATTGCTACATAAAAATATTTCAGTGTGCTTCTCCAGATTTGAATAGTCATTTCCTCATGCATCCTTCTAATATAGGAAAACAAAAATTATACACACATATATCAAATACTAATCCATACAGATATGTATCTTTTTCACTGTGCAATAAGCTTGAAAGCTTTCAGCATTAAGAATTTTTCAGAAAGTTAGCAGAGTCAATCAAAACAATCAAAACTTTAATGGTGACATGTTACTCTGTGTATTAATAAAAAAAATCTATAGAAAAATACTGGAACTTAGACATCCACCAATATCTACTACTACCCCATCAATGGAGAAATGAAGAAAAACTTTTAATAGGGGATACACACTTCACAGCATCTTGCAAAGGAAAAACAATCTTTTTTTTTTTTAAACCTATGGGAAACTGACTAGGCAGCATTTGTTAAACAAAGCTTCAAAACTTTAAGGAATATATTTTCAGTAACCATAGCAGTATTTAAAAAACAAAAACTAATAAAGTGTCCAGGGGTACTTTTAATGCATTAATTTCCTAACTGTGGGGAAAGTTAGCATTTTAAGACAAGAAGCTTCTGTCCATGTATTAATTAGTTACCCATCTTAACAGCTTATCTGCATGGATTCTGACAATTTACAAAGAACTGTTACATGTATTATTTCATTTGATCTGAGAAAAAAGTATAGTATTATGCCTAAAAAAAAAAAACAAAATTCAAAGCAGGTTCATCACATTCTCTAACATTCCTAAGTTTTTTACAACTTTGATACGAAACTTTATAAGCAACCACAGTAGCATATTTCCAGTGATAATCAATTCACCTAACACTAACTGGGTTTCAAAGGACCATCTGCAGTAAATGCTCTGACACTGTTAAAATAGCTACTTTCATCTTTCTGCAGTTTTTGTTAAGTGTTACTAATTGACATATCAGCAATGACCTATATCCACAGATAAAACTTTACTTATAGCTCAAGAATTTGGTCTTGGGAAGCCAACTTACTTATGTACTATAAAGCAGAGTATATCTACACTAGAATTACTGTCCATAGATTGGAGGAGGGGAAAAAAGTTAAGCCCAAAATTTTTTCCATACAACATCTCAATTACCCTATATCCTATTTGTATTACTATTACAGAGATAACACAAAGCTTAAAGTCCTAAATCATACCAACCACTTTTATTTGTAGCAATTACAATTTCTTAAAATATGTATTCAACACCCCTATTATCAATACAAGACTACTTCCCCTTCAAAATAGAGTAATTCTAACAATGCCCTATACCTGAGTCCAGTATCCTTAAACTATCCACATTAAAAAGTCTACTTTTTATAGTATTGTATAGGTAAAATGCAGTCAGAGATTTCACTTTCAAATAGCAAATGTAATTTATGAATGAAATTTTTAAATGGACTTACTCAAAATCTTTCTGGAACTTTAAGGTGTTAATCCTGTTGCTTAGGTGAAACTAAGTAAAGCTATAATAAATAGTAAGACCCTTAAAATCAAAAATTTCCTTTATCTTGCTGTAGCACCTCCTGCTGGATAGCATTTAGAGATCTTCATGTAAGCAGAAGAAGAGTATTTCATAGGCAGCTTCTTCCAGATAACTGAATAGAAAAAAGAATGGACTCTTCAAAGCTAAAAGTAATAGGACCCCGTCCATCACTTATACCTCTTAAAAATAAAAATTAGTATAGGTAGGTGTCTGATAACTATTCCAGTTCCATAAAGACTTGCCTGAGTCCAAAGTGCAACATGTCTGGCAAAATTATCTTAAAACTAACAGTAAAAGCCTTCAGGAACACTCAAGCAAAAGACTTTCTTTGGAGCAGCCAAGCAATGCCAGTCAAAATGCAAATACTGTTACCAAAAAGCAAAAAACTGATGTAAAAAAAAAGAAAGAAAGAAAGAAAGAAAAACCTAGATATTTTTAACATGTTAGCCAGATGTTTGTGTTTTGAGAATTTTCTACAGTATTACTATACTCTTCACTTAAGGATATCAATAGAAGTTTTAAGTACAGAAATTTTTTTGATAAACTTCCATATAACTGCACACAAAAATTTCCTTTACTATCAAAAGTTAATGTCCTAGGATTTCAAAATGCATTCTTTTTAATGGCCCTTAATAAACTAATTTGAAGCCCACAGTGTAGATTACATATACACAAAGACAAAAGAAAATAAAGAACTTACCAAAATTAAAATGAATAGTATTCCCAATAAAAATGTAGTAACAATTTCCAACAATGCTGTAAACCAAGTAAATTGTGAAACTTAAAAAAGCAGGGAGGGGGCTCATCTTCAGAATCCCAAAGAAAAGCTGACCTATTTATTTCTACTGCCCAAATGTGAGTGAACATCAGATATAAACAAATAACATAAACACTAAAAACTATGTTTACATGTTTTAGCCCCAACTTCAGCACCCTTACCAGGCCTCAATAAAACTACAGATGTTGATGAGTTTCCTCATAAAAAGGAGATATTCCTGCCCCTCACCCTAAAAAACCCTTATGAGTGTGCCTATGAAAAGGCTTCCTTCCTAGAGTGCACAATTGCTTTAAAAAAAAAAAAAACTTTCATCAACCCAAATTAATCTGATTCTAATATTCAGCTATCAATTATTAATATACAAATGTTCTTTCTCTCTCTAACTTCCCCAGCTCCAGCTTCTACATTCCTGACACCGACTATTAAGAAAAATGCACAACTTGCACCCTAGCTATGGGGCAAATCTTTGAAATCCGAAACACAGCCACAAAGTTCACTGTCAAGGCCAGTGCTGAGGCCCACATACGCCCGGACCTTAACTTACATTTGAAATTCTAGAAATCCATACTCTCGAAGACATCATTTAAAAACAACACAATGTGGACGTGCAGAGTGAGATCCTCTACTTCAAGACCTAAACAAAGAATATTTCAACATATGACCGGAATATGATGACACCAGATTCACCAATGAAAACAAAACCTGCCTACCATTAGCAGTCGTACCCTCATCTCAACAACTCAACTACTTAGAAATCACTCTCAGCACATCTGCACCCCACAACCGGCCTGTGGCCTTCTCCGGGGGTGCAAACCAGCGACAAAGTTGAAAGGAGACATTCTCCCCCGGTGCCCAATCTCGATACCAACCCCTCCCCTACCAGGGCCACCTTGCTGCTACCCACCATCGCGAACGTGGTCAGGGGAAAAAAAAGAAATCCTAACAGCACCGCTCAGCAGAATAAAGAGACCAAAGAGAGGATGACGAGAAGTGTTGGGAACTGCGTGCACGGCGGGGCTGGACCAAACGGAAAGAGTCCCACTCCGCGCGCCCCTCCCCCCGGCGGGGGCGCGGGCGGGGGAGGGGCGGCCGCGGCCCCTCTCCGAGCGGCCTGTCCGCCCCGGCCCGCGCGGGGTCCCGGGGGCGCCCTGCGGCCGCCAGCGGCGGGGGCGAATGAGGGAGGGCCGGCCCCGAGGTGAGGGGTGCAGGCAGACTCTCCAGAATAACAAGTTGCAGAAGAAGAAGAATAAGCGGAATTTCCCCAACGCTGCTCCGGCCACCCAAGACAAATGCACCAACACACACACACACACACACACACTTGGGCCCGGCAGCGTCAGCAGCCGCAGCTTTTTTTTTTTTAATTCAGATCCCTCAGTCTCCAAACAAGATGGTTTTCCAAAAAAAATTTTTTTAAAATAAATAAATAATCATAATAAAAACTTCCCCCCGATAGCATCCCGGGGTGGGGTGGGGGGTAAAAGAGCCAAAGGTACCATCCCAGGGCCGAGGGAGAGCCATAAGGGCGGGCGAGGTTCCGCGCCCCCCGCCCCCGCCCGCGGCCCCCAGCCTGGCCCCCCGCCGGGACAATGTGACGCCCCCTCCAGCCACCCCCGGCACGCCGCCTCTGTCACCAGCTCCGGCCCAGCACTCAGCGCCCAGGCTCCCGAGGCTGCTCATAAACTTACTTCCAATTTATCCTGGGGAGGGGTGGAGGGCAGAGGGGAGGAAGGGGGTAGCCACGGTTTTCCCATTGTCTTTAGGGGGGGGAGGAATGAGAAGGGCACACAGGGGGGCGCCCCGAAGGGGAAGTTATTGCTCAAATCTCAAGTTGACTGAGGGGTCCAGACGAGAACACCCCCCTTTCCCTCCTCCCTCCCACACACCCCTCCCCTCCCCCTACATCTCCCCACAACAAACTCTAAGCAAGCAGCCCCAGTTCCTCCCAGAGACAAACACCAGAGACAAGACAGAGGAAGAGAGGGAGAGAGGGAGAGGGGGAAGGGAGAGGGAGGGGAAATAGAGCTACTCCAGAAAAAAGAGAGAGAAGAGTGAGAAGAGAGAATGGAAAAGCTGGGATACTGCACCCTCCTGCTGCTGGCTGGCTGTCCCCCCTGGCAGCTGGAGGCAGGAACTCTGAGCAGGAGAAGCAGGAGGAGGAGGAGGAGGGAACTCTTCTTCATGGGGAGGGAGGGAAGAAGCTGGAGCTGCTGCTGCTGCTTCTGCTGCTGCTCTGGGCCTCTCGCACTTTTTAGATATTAGTGTATTAAGATGGTAGGTTGTTCCCTTCTCCCTCCTCCTCCTCCTCCTCCTCCTCTCCTCTCCTCTCCCTCTCTCTCCCTCTCTCACTCACTCTCTCCTCTCTCTCTGGGCTGTTTCTTTCCTCCTCTTCCCCAAGCAAAGGGGGGGTGGGGAGGAGGGGGGTGGGGGGAGGAACTGGATCCTCCTCCTCCTCCAGGAGAGACACACTCAGGCCTCGGGCCGGAATAGGGAGGGGGGAATCAGAGCAGCAGGAGAGAAACTGTGGGAGACAAACAAGCCCAACTCTTCATCCTCCTCCTCCTCCTCTCAGCAGCAGCAGCGAGCACCACCAGCCCATTCACCACCCGGCCCCGGGCCGCAGCACCTCCGCCGCCTTAGCCCG